GGAATCAAGGGCGGTGGAATGAGGCCGAAGAGCTGGAGGTGCAAGTGATGGAGACGAGCTCGAGGGTGCGTGGGGACGAACATCCAGACACGCTGACCAGCATGGCCAACCTAGCATATACGTGGAAGTCTCAAGGCCGGAACAGGGAGGCCATCTCATTAATGGAAAGGTGTTTTGAGCTACAGAGGCAGATTCTTGGCCCTCAACATCCTAGCACAGAGACTTCGCTTGAAGCTCTAAATGAGTGGCAAATGGAGAACAGAGATTAGACCTTAATCCCACTTTTGTCTTGTAAAATCAAGCTAGTGCAAATACGGAACTAATCATGCTGCATCAGCACGCCTGTACGATATGTTGATGGTAATAACAACAATTTGGCATGCAATGTCGTCACCATAGACAGGGAGGGTGCCGACCCGCACCGGCCACACTCTTTGTGGGGCTCCAAACTCTAATAGAAGTACTCTTTGGTACAGTGGCAACTGACGTGTCTTGGTCTGTGGCGTAATCGTGGTATGCCAAGACTCGCATTTGTGCCCCTGCTTGCTGGCCGGAGCAAAATGGTGTTGCAACAATGAGTAAGGGTGAAGCCGCATTCGCTAGCGGCTGTACTGTTCCGGAGTCGGATTTTTATATATTCCGAGCGTTAGCAGAACAGGGCTCCGCGCAGCCACAGGCCTGATGGTTATGGGGCTGGCGTGCTCGCTTACTTGATTACCACAAGTAAATTAACTTACACCGTAATGAATATTTCGGATGTATGGAACTGTCTCGCACTAACCGCTATTGGTGATCGCTTCGGTTGGAGGTACCGATCGACGTGGCGACTTCGCATGAATTTGCGTGCGATAGCAGCCACAAGGTTGATGACGACTTCCTAGTATAGTAGTGAGGTTCTGAGGCTCGGATGGGGCCCTTTTATGGGTACCAGGAGTGATAAGAGCTCGATAGTGGTGCTGTGGCGAAGGAATTGTGTTACGCTATGAAAGGAGGCTCTCCGCAAATTAGGCGCGATGGCGACGATGCGACCGTAATTTTTTGGTGGGGCTGTTCTAAGTGTTTAGATGTGGCCATAGTACACGACTTATATAGAACTGTGGGAAATATTAATGTGTGCACATATCTGAGTTGTTTGAAGTCAATGTACCTATTGATTTTCTCGGACGGACCTTAGCTGTAAGTCGCTGGGAGGCCCTCACGGCTACAGTAGCCTAGAATTAACTGAAGGATCAATACGAAAGTGCGGCCACTCTGCGCATCAAGGGATGGACTGGTTTCCTGTTAGTAAAGGCTGGTCTAAATTTGTTGATGCGAAACTATGAAAGATGTGATACTGCCCCTAATATTTCTGTACCTACTTCTGCTTCTTTGGCGCTCTGTTCTTGCCTTTGTCTTTTCTAGGGGGTGACTTGCTGCGTGGTTTGGTGACCCTACCTGCACTTACGCGATTCGAATTTGAAGCTGCAGTGTCGGACGTCATGGCTAGCCTGGCCTCCTCTTTAGCAATCATTTCTTTGAGACTCTTGCTGCTAGTTTTTGGGTTATTAAATTTTATCCCGAGCTCCGTTGCTCTTGCCCTGAGGACTGCTATTTCGCTCTTGGGAGCCTCCTCATTTGTAGGCTTGTTTACCGTCTTGGGCTTCGGAGCTTTGGTTGACTCTTCAATAATTGATGGGTCCGTCGTCGCTTTCTTTGTCGCTTTAGGTTTGCCAGGCTGCTTACCATCATTACCATTAACTGCTTGTGCACCGTTCGTTGCGTTGGTTTTCTTGGCAGCTCTTTTTTTCGGCTTTCTGGCCTGGTTAGAAGTAGATGGCGGATAATTTGACCCCACACCAGAGCCCCTTTCTGGCCTGCTACCCCTACCATTTCTTGACCCACTGTTGTTCTGATTGCCATTATTCTTATCCTTACTCGCTTTATCGGTCAACTTCTCCCTGGTATATTTGCAACCTTCTTCCCCGCATTGACACGGGAAGTCTGTGGTAAAGTAGTCTCCCTGGTAGTCAATCGTTATCTGCTCTCCCTTCATAATCGCTCGCGCAGCTCGAATAGCCACAAATCTAGTATGCCCGACCCTAGCCACATAGATGCTGGCATTCGGCTTACAACTGTGGTTCAAAAACCTTGACCAGTTTCCTCTCATTTCGGAATCTACGAATACCTCTCTCCTTTTGCCTTCTGGGACTCCAACCCACCGCGTGTAACCGTCTTGCCTACATCTCCTGGTGTATATGGACCCAATAGACAGCGTCATAACGTAGCTCGCGCCTTCCGGCTTCTCGGGCACGATCTCTCCCAGGTACGCTCCTATGGTGTCATTTTCTTCCCAGTTGTGTTTAGAGTAAAGAGCGAATCCCATTCGGAGCTTTTCGGAGTTGCGAATCTCTAATCTCTCTTGCCAGTCTGCGCAGCCTTGCAGCCACTCTTGGAGAGAATGGTCGCATGCGCGATTTCCCCTGGGACAAGATTTGCCCCAGCACCACCGACCTTCACAGGTTCGCTCCTGATCATTGGGATCGGCATACAACAGTTCCAGCACGCTCTCGGGTCCGTGGGTTTGTGGCAACGGATTTGTAAACCAACCTTTGCCCTCAGGAGCCTCCTCGGGAACCCACCAAGCTGGTACCTTGCCGAACCTCCTGCGATCGTCGTCAGTCCACTCGTAGGTCATCTCGTTCTGCTGGATCGGCCGCGTACCATCGCTATTTGTGACAATGGTGTTTGCCTGCGCGGCGTAGAAATACTTGATCCTTTTCGAAGGACACTCCTCGTCATCCTCACCATCAGTGGGACGTGGTCGCTTACCGTTGTTACCGCCATTCCTCATTGGTCGTCGTCTGTCATTGTTCTTACCATTATGCTTGGATCCATCAGCTGGCGGTGCACCGTCGCTACCTTTACGGCGCTCCCCGAGCCCTTTTCAACCACAGAGCCGCTTCCCACATCCGCATCCGTGGCAGCCCCCTCGCCACCGTTATCGGCGCCCGCCTGGCTATTTGCAACCAGAGCATCGCTCCCCTCAGGGGTGATAACCGGATTCCCCTCGTCATCATTGACGGCATTTCGATTGCCACTTGTAGCATCGTCGTCCTGTTGCGTAGGGTCAGCTGTAGCCGTACCATCTCGCTCACCTCTAACAACAACATCGCTCTGTAAGGGTACAGCAGTACCATCCTTCGAAACTTTCTTCGCGGTCGCAGCCTTCTTCGCGGCCCCAGTTTTCTTCGCGGCCTCAGTCTTCTTCGCAGCCGCAGCCTTTTTATCAGCGGCAGCCTTCTTCACATGCGTGGCCTTTTTCGCATCCGCAACCGCATCCGCCTTAACCTTCTCAGCCGGCACCGTTTTCGCCACGGCTGGCTTCTCGGCCTTCTGATCGCGGTGCTGCTCCGGCTTTTGCACGTTCTCGCGCTTTGGTCGAGTATTGGCGACCATGATATAAAATACTTTCCTCTTTTCTTACAATGCGATACAGTTAAATATATAGCTTATCGATCGAGTATAGTTTGGAAGCGGTGTACTTCTCGGTATATGTAAAGGTAGCACGGCCAGCGTGCTAGAGTCTAAAGAAAATATGTATGTTAGCAGTATGCGTTTGATTCTCGAGAACCTTTTCCCATGATGGCGGAGTGGGCGGCTAATAAGCAGGATGAATGAGTCTTTGTTGAGAGATAAAGGCATTGTTGGGGATGAGTATGACGGCGAAAGGAGGATGAGGACAAAGGGATAATGGATGCGCACAACGGTATAAAGCGAACGCGGACAAGAGAGACAAAGGGGTTTGACAATCCCATTGTTTGTCCGCTATTATCATCCATCTACGAGAGTGGTGGGATATGCGTAGCTGCTGGTTCGAAACCTTGGGACCTGTGGCCAATCAGCACGCACTAAGTTTGGCAGTTCTCAGCTCGACTTACATGCATAGAGTGCAGAAACGCATCGGTCTTGGTAGTTTTCAGCTCAACTTACATGCACACACCCATAGCTCGTCTGCGTCCTTAAGTCATTAGATCACGAATTTTGTCTGAAATGCGGCGATGGTTGGGCGGAAGCCCGATACGCATATATAAACTAATATATTTTGTCACCCTCCCATAGTAAAACTCTCGCCTTGGTGTAGTTGGTTTATCACGTCGGGCTGTAATTGTCACATCATACCTGAAGGTCCGCGGTTCGATTCCGCGAGGCGAGAAAATCTGAGCTTGCTTGCTCTTTTTTTTTTTGCCTGGGCATTGTGCGCTTCACTTGCTGGCGGGTCCTGATTGGGCGGGTAAATCGGGGGTGAATGGTGCGGCTGATGAGTCGGGTTAGTCAGGTAAGCTGAGTGGGTTTTCAGCTGGGGCTAGGTAGGTACGCGAGACGAAGTGTGGGGAAGTGACTGTTGGCATCTGGCACTGGCGGCGTATGAATAGAAATTTTGATTATGGAGATATCCGAATGCATTAGACTAGAGCTTATTTGACGAGATTGAAACATACCACGCTATGAAAGTGCAGCTTAGGTAAAGCCAAGAGAACATTCTCGCACCCTTCACAATTTCAGCTCCGATTCCCTCCCTCACCACATCTCCCACACCGCATCCGGCAACACCGTCCGCATGATCCTCCAGTGACTTACTGCCCCCTTGTTCTGATGCGCTTCTAGTTCCGCCGTCTCGCCCCTCTTCAGCACATTCTCCTTATCAACTTCGTAGTTGAAATCGATCTCGAGCTTAGCTTGTGGCATCAAGTGCGCTCTCTTGGCGAGACTGCCTCTGAAATCGTCTTCCGTGGGCTCGCGGAAGTAGATGGCGTCACCACCTTTCCCGAGATCATTCTTGGCGCAGAAGACGACCATGTTGATGAAGTCGGGCTCCGAGGGCTGGGAAGTGCGTGATGGGAGGTTGTCGCGGAAGAGGCGGCAGGCAGGGAAGATGGCGTGGACAGTGGAGAGGATTAGGAGAGTCGAGGGAAGGGAAAGATCACCGGCGTAGTTCTGGAGGGTTAGCACGGCGGCGACTTCTATAGAGATGTTACAGTTGAAGAGAATTAGGACGTACAATAGCAACGACACCGTCTTCGGTTAGTAGTTTCTTCAATCCCTCGAAGAATTCGACTGTGAATAACATGACTGGTTCTGCGCCGCCGGTGAACACATCGTGGATGATGTAGTCGAAGCTGCCTGGGTTTGAGCGCGACTTTTCTTCTACGTAAAAGACTGCGTCGTCAATCACGGCGGTGTGGTTCTTGGAGAGATCGAAGTATTTTGTGGCGAAGTGGTGGACGACTGGGTCGAGCTCAACGATCGTAGTGTTGATGTTGTGAGAGATGAGCGAGTTGGGTGCTGTACCAATTCCAAGACCACTGTAAGTAGGTTAGAATCGTATTTTTGATGGGCCAATTCATTGAAGTGATAGATGGAATTCATACATCACTAAAGCGCTCTTCTGAGAATCAGGCTTCGTCTCAATCTTTAGCGAGTCGTCTCCGATTTCCATAAGTCTCACAGCCTCTAGCATCGCAAATACTGAGAATATTGGCTCGGGTACAACTTGCCCCTGAGCAGCTCTTTCCGTAGTCACAAGCCACTCTCCGCCTAGAAGGCTGTGGTCACATCTCAAGACTCTGAATCCGCTGTCTTGACCTTCCAGCACTGAGATATAGCCAGTCAAAGACTCCTGGCGATCCAATAGAGTAAAGTTCTGCGTCTGCAGTGTGCTGTTTGCCAATTGCGCGCCCCGCTCGGATGTGTAATGCGGATTTGCTCTCATGGTATGGATGATCGCCGGAACAGCCAGAAGAATTAGACGAGACGGGGATACAAAGGCTAACGCTGATCCCATGCCCATCTGAAGTCCGAGCCGAGTGAAGGTCAGATGGGTTCCGATGTATTGTGGCAAGATGGATGTAAAGAGCTTTGATATAGTCGTGACCGTGACATACGATCCTACAGCAGGTGCCATTTCCGCAATAGTGAGATGGAGTCGACTCAGATCTATGCTCTCTAACAACTCGCCAGCGGAGTAGACGGAGAGAAACAAAAGGGGTAGATAGGTGACAAGTTCAGTGATTGGGGGTCCATATTCGGGTCCCATTTCAGAGCTGTACTGAAATAGAAAGAATTGGATTACTGGAATCCAGTACGCGATTATGGCAATGTAATCGCTGATGTTGGACGGGAAGTATCGTTTCAGAGTCCCTTTAGCCATGAACGCTAGTAATGCTGTTCCCGTGATGGCCCTTTGATGGTACAATGATGATGGGATTGATCCGTAGACTGGGGATAGGCTGAGTTGTGAGACGGGAGAAGAAATGCCAGCAAGAATCAACAAGGCCGCAGCTCGGCAGACATTCCTTAGAAAAACTGGCGTGGGCACAGTACGAGCTTTCTTCTCGGCCTCCTTCGCAGCCTTGGGTTTCCGTGGTGTCTTTGGCATCTTGGTTCTCGATATGCTAGTGCTGAGAAAGGTCGGAAATCGATATGAATTAAGAGGAGAAAGAAGGTGGGATGTAAGAGGGATTGGAAGTAGTGTAATTGGACTTCCCAGCCCTCTTAAAGGAAATGTTTACCAAGTGGCGCCTCTCGCGTCACAGCGGTCCGTGTTGCCGTGAGGAGATCAGAAAATCATCCTCCGAACGGATTAGCTTTCTTAGGACGCGTGGAATTCACATACGAAGAAGAATAGAGATGAGAGAAGAAGAGGAGATGGGACACGAAGACAGAGGTGCAGTATGAAGGCTCTCACGGCGGTTGTTTCAGGGCAGATTGAAACACATGGTGTTGAAGTCGCGGGGAGCTCGAGCCGTTACCGATTGGGCTTAGCGAAAGCGCGCACGGTCCATCGGCACCAGCCTGCGACTCTTGAACACATGCGACGAACTGCAGACCGCATTGATGCCCTCTCTCTACTCCTGACTGCGGCTACTACGTCCTCAAACCCGCCGTCATCCTCCTTTGCGCGAGCCCGTCGCTCCTCCACGCTGTGGCGCAACTTGGTCTACCTTCCCAGCCTTCGAAGGCACAATACCTCATACACCAAGAACAGGCTGAAGATCATACGTGACTTTCAGCCTTCCAGCAGGAAGACGCCTCTCAATCTCATTTCTTCAGCCCTGACTTTCAAGGTTTGACCTTCATCCAATCATCTGGGGTGTCTGTTGTCAAACAGACATGTCCAACGCTTGCGGGCCGTCGAACACAATACTCTGTTGCAAATGTGCTGAAGAAGACGGCCTCAAAGCAGCCCATCTTTGCAGTCGACATCCTGATTCAGAAGGAGAGAAGAGCAGCACTCTCGTCCAGAAACTCAAACACTACTTATACGACGAATCGATTTCTGGGGACTCTATATGCCTTATTCAGCTAGAACCTGAGGGCAACGACGTATCATTACGATGTAGTCTCGTAGTCCGACCACTCAACAGTGATACGAGCTACACTGCCTTATCGTACACCTGGGGCGACCCCGCTACCATCCATACGATCTCTTGTAATGGCCAACGACTTCTTGTCGGTGAGAATCTTCATTCGGCTCTTTTACAGTTTCGTCGGGACGGTCGCACAGAGCCGCTTTGGGTGGATGCCGTGTGTATCAATCAAAAGAACAACGCCGAGAAAACACAACAGGTCAGAAGAATGCAACAGATCTACGAAATAGCCAGCCTAGTTGTATGTTGGCTAGGAGAGGAGGAGAAGTCTGATGAAGAAGGCTTTTCACGAATGAGGAAGCTTTTTGCTCAGTGCGGAGAGCAGTCTCCCCAGGACTTTGTGAATTACAGCTTCAATACAGTGAAGCAACTTGGGCTACCAGATTTGTCTAGTTCTCAGTGGGGGGCTATGTGCAGAATTCTATACCGCCCGTACTTCTCTCGCATTTGGATCTTCCAAGAGATCATCGCAGCGACAGGATGTATCATTCAGTGCGGGACGCATACCATCGACCGAACAATTGTCCTCACAATTGGATCAATCTATGAAAGATTCCATCAAGTGGGCGGAGCGATTGCTGCCAACATCCCGCTTCCTCAGCCTACCGAACCCGAAACTGACTTTGAGGATACTGTTGTTTTATTCTCTGTCCAGCACCTTTGGGCTGCCAAAGCCTTGTTTGATTTTGGAAAGAAGGCAAAGATTTGTCAGCTACTCATGAATACCAGGGTTTTCGAGGCTACAGAACCACGAGACAGATTCTACGCTCTTATAGGCCTCAGCTCGGATGTCAGCAGCACTTTCATCGACTACGATAGGCCATATGCCGAAGTGCAAGTTGAAATTGCGAAACGATGTATGATGCAACCAGAGAGCTGGGGTCCTATGATATTCTCCTATGTTGATCAGGGACACCATAGTGACAGCTTACCTTCTTGGGTACCGGATTGGACACCCGGCGGCCCAATTATGCTTCCTCTTGCTGGAAGCTATTACCCATACAAATTGGAACCACTACCTCAACCAAACTGGCAAATGCGACTCAACAATGTAAGATACGTTAATAATCCACATGAGCATCAAGTATCTCTCAAGAGCTTGTAAAATAAAACCCATCAAAGTATGGTCACGTCGAATAGTGTAGAGGCTAATGTTTATTGTGTCTTAGCAAATCGCCTTGAACGGCCGCCTGTTTGACAAAATTGCAACGGTCATTCATGAGACCCCGTACACGACGCCTTTACCAAAACTGAACAAACTAAACAAGTTTGTAAACTATTGTAAAAAGATGGAAGAATGGGAAGACTCGTGTTGGGAACTAGCGATGAGGTTGAGAGAGTATCCTACCGGAGAGGGGATTTTTGAAGCTTATTGGCGTGCGCTCATATTCAACAGGCAAAACTTAGAGGAAGAGCCATCTCAAAATTTCGAATGGGCCTACAAAAGCTGGAATACAGCCTTCTCGACTGGCAAGGACGAATCTTTACTAGAGCTCACGTCCATAATCCAGCAACCTGGAAATAATCAAGACCCATCGCCTGCCACGATCTTAGAGATGATCCAAAGATTGTCTGGCTTAATGTATACTGGCATGCAATTTATTATAGCATACGGCAAGCTATCATTCAAATTCGGTCTTTTAAACAAGCTCCTGTCAGTAGCCGTACCCTTCGAGAATGCATTCTTTCGATATGCTCCTGGACGTAAATTTTGTATAACGAAAACGGGCTTCATGGGCTGGGTTCCTTCAACTGCGCAAGAAAACGATCTCTTTTGTTTCTTTGATGATTGTTCGCTGCCTTTCGTACTTCGGCGCTGCGAGGGAGGATATAAACTAATCGGCGACTCGTATCTCCACGGCTTGATGAATGATCCACTGATTGTATTGCTTGAAAAGAAACAGGATGTTGTTTTACTGTAGAATTCATCTCAAGAGGAGAATTATTCAAAATCAGGCCATAGTTCGTACAGCTTCTATGATGTGGACTCGCGAGGGAGAGACTTGGGATGCCTAAACCGTGGATTCGTCTCGCGGACGGGCTGCATCTCTTGACCCAGGGACAGAAGTTAAGGGGGCTGCCCTCTTTGCTCGCTTTGCGGCTCGACACAATTGTGAGGAGTAACCCAGCTGGTTGAGTGAGGAGCTAGTTTGATTTCCACTGTGCTAAACTTTACGTCGTATTTGCATTTTTAGCACTTATCGAGGTATCTCAAACGGTGACGAACGCATGCGTCCAGACTTCTGGCGAGATAGTCACGTGATACTAAAGCAGGGATAATCTATTAGTAAGGATAAGCCTAGCGTGGTCGCGTCGACATATCTTCGAAGCCCCCCGCCCCTCCAGTCCACGCCGTCGCTACTTCTGACAATGCCCTACTTTCCACCAGGACGGGTACTGGCCATAGAGGACCTGGAGAACATGGAGATCTCAATCCCGATACGCCACCGCACCGAGGACAATGCGCAGGGCAACACGCAGGGCAATGCGCAGGGCATCCCGGAGCAGAGCAATAACGCCCAAATCAGCGCCGAGCAGTACCTAAGAATCAAGACACGCCGTCGTCGATATCTCGATCTGCATCCCGAGTACTTCAGCCACGAGCTTGAACTAGCTGACGTCCTTCTCTATGACCACTACATCCGCCGTTTCTACACCCCCGCTGAGAGCGCAGCCGCAGACGTTGCGAAAGGCTTCGCCGATGCCCTCGAAGCCGACCTCTGGCGCGCCGAGGCCAAGGTCGAAGCCGTCGAAAACCCGAACCCTAACCACGACTTCGTGTACTACCGCCAAACGAATGGAGTCATCGTGTCTGTTGATAAAGGCGAGGAGGAGATGGATCGGGAGGAAGCGAAGGAGGCGTGGCGGTTCGAGATGAAATGGCGGTTCATACGCGGCGAGGACGATCAATTCAACTATAAGACGGTTGATGAGAACGTGGCGTACGACGATCCCGAGGAGGAGCGTGAGCTCCAAGACGCTTACCTGGACGCTGCTGACGATGATACGGAAATGGGCGATAATGTGGAGCTGACTGGCGAGACTGGAATTATGGACTACTGATGAGTGGATGACTCTCACGATTGTCGACGAATATTACGACTAGTGCGACTGCTGCTCCGAAAGAGCCGCGTGCGTTATAATACAGAACCAGGCTGTAAGTCTGGGTACACGGATATAGCGGTGCTCGAGACCGACTTTTGCTCCCTCAACACCACCATCTGGAGTAGCTCAGCCATCACGCAGCCGACCAGTCAAGAGGAAGTCTAATTCCCGCTGCATTGACCTTCACATTATGTTTAGATGTTGTAAGTATCGGCACACGCACATAGCTTTGCATAGACTTCACTTTTGCTCGCGTGATACCGCCGTCAGGAGTAGCCCGCCTAGCTGGCAGCCGCCCGGTCAAGAGGCAGCCCAATTTGCGCGGTATTGGATTTTACATCGAGTTTTGAATTTTGAATTTTGAAAACCGACGGGGGCACCCTAAGCAGTGGTAGACGACTGTGCACAGATTGGTGGCAAGGCATTGTATTTGATTACGGTCTTTTCGAATGTAAGCAACTCCATCTCAACCGTAACTTCCGACAGACCAGATCATAACGTGTACTTGAAGGTCATCGCTCGATCGCTCAGCGCGCTCATTTCTTCCGGCGAATACCCAGCGTGTCCCCCTTCAGCCAACTGCCATTCCCTCTTCGCATTGATACGACGGTAGTTGAATGCTATCAGAAGAAGCGCAAAGATACCCGCAACAATGAAGACAAGCTCCAGGGCATGGCCGAGCCTGTAATGGGGAGCGTCTTCGGATCTGTAAAAATTGGACGCCATAGCTGCGACCATGTCAGCAACACTATCCTTTTATGACAAAAGTAGCAATCAAACTCACCACCAGCCAACCCACCCACTCCAATCTGAATCGCCTGTCCCATGGCCCTCTTCGTGCTTCCCGCCAGATTATTACTCAACCACGTGACGCTTCCCGCAAACGCAGGGTACAAGGCGCACGCCGCGAAAAACAAGCCCGCGTAGACGACCCCGGGCTTCGAGCTCGCAATACACATGATAAACCCCACCGCCATGATACACAAACACACGAGGATGAACGGCGACCGCTTCCCATACCGATCACTCGCGTAGCCCACCGCGATCGCCAACACCGATGCGGTGATGTAAATAGGCACCGTGAGTAGCTGCGCCGTCGAGCTCGTATACCCTAGCCCCTTGATGATGGTCGGCAGGAAGAGCGATATCCCGTAAAGCGGCGCCACGATCCCCCAATACAACCACACGTTGCACGAAACCTGCCAATCCAAAAACACATCTTTCACATACCTCTACTGGAAACTATCATCCTCGCTTACCCTTCCCTGGACCCCGTCCCTCTCTTCTCCGCCCTGGCCTTGGTACTTTAGCCGATACACAACAAACGCCCTCTCCTCAAGCGACAGGAACGTCGCGGTCTCCAATCGAACAAAACGAAGTAGGCGAGCAAAGCAACTAGCACAGTCAGTATCCCCTCGAGGATAAACATCCACCGCCGCCCGGCGAGCCCACCCACGCCGTCCATATGCGCAATCCCGAACGCCAACAACCCGCTGAACGCACCCGCAATACTCGCCACGCTGAAAAATAGCGCCTGCCGGGTCTGGGCCTCGTGGCGGCAGTACCACATGGTGATGTAGTACGCCACGCCGGGGAACAAGCCCGCCTCGGCGGCGCCGAGGAAGATGCGCGTGACGAGCAGGCCGTGGAAGTTTTGCACGATGCCCATAAGCGACATGACGAGGCCCCAGGCGACCATGATGGTGGGCAGCCAGACGGAGGGGCGCAGGCGCTTGAGGAGCAGGTTGGAGGGGACTTCGAAGATGCAGTAGGGGAAGAAGAAGGCGGTGAGGCACCAGTTGAATTGCGGGCCGGTGATGTGAGGGGGTCGGTGAGGCCTTCGATTTTGGCGTTGCCTGGAGTGGGGAGGTGGTTAGCTGATGTACTTCATCGATCTATCCAAGCTGTATCCATCCCAAAGTGAGTGGCTGAGCGAAATATACATGCCGATATTCCCCCGATCAAGAAAACTACGTAGGTATAGTAACGCCAGCATGGAGATCAACCGCAGATCCATCTTCCGCAGTATCTTTTTTTCATCCAGATGCGCAAACGACGCGAGCATGACGCCGGGCGCGGTGGCTAGGGAATTCACTTGGGCGATCTGCTCTGCGAGGGTGAGTTTGCGGCCGTCGTAATAGTCATGGGTCCCAGCGCTGAGAGACGCAGGAGGGGAGTCGGCGGCTGCGTCGACCTTGAAGGTATCAAGCTTCTCCATCGTGAAGGGGAGGAGGGCGTGCTGGTGGGTTGGGGATACCAGAGAAGTATAGAGATAGGTGGTTGTAGGAACGAAGCAACAAGGTGGGATTGTTATACACCTCCTCTTTTCCAAATCGCGAGCCTTAAACCATGGAAACCATACCTACCCACCCCTGGGCTCAACATTCATCTCCTTGGGAGCATCTCGACTCTATGTACCTCTCGAACCCAGTGCATGCGATGTGTGGTGAGTGAGTTAGCGTTGCGGGTGGGTCTTTATACAGGTCCCGTGTAACTTGATAAGGACTACTCATGACTAAGGAATCAATTGGATATATGTGTTGTTAGCTAATTTACCAAACTTTGATACCGCGTTGGTGCTGCAGCATTATGTTTGTGGTGTTGAGAAATTGGCCGAGTAGCTGTTAAACTGCCACCCACGAAGCAAACCTCAACACCATAGAAATTTTACGATAGTTTAGATATACATAGAGATTCACGGCCTCAATTCCAGTCTGCACAACCAACCGGGCAAACGATATCTGCGCATGTAAACCTTCAACCTATAGTAATACATAGTAAATTTGCGCGTGTAAATCTTGACAACCTAGGTAGTTAGCAAATATGTGCGATTGCGTGGAGGTGCAGCTTGGGTAGGAGGCCGACGTATTGAATTTTAGTGTATCAGCTAGCCAAAGTAAGTGCCCGAGTGATTACTTATTAAGTCCTTAGTCGCAGGTGGTCCTTATCAGCTTAGCTGCTGCCCTCATCAAGGGCTCCCTTACTAGTCGCTGCTTGCCTGAGGACGCTTGATACGGGGATCTTACACCCCGCGATCGTTATCCAGCGCGGTGAGTGTGGGATGGGTGTTTTTGAGTTTCTTGAGCAAGCGCGAGTCAGGGCGGTGCGAAGGAACTCCGCGGATATAAGGTTTCTCCAGATTAGCTACGAGATGGGGTGAGCTTCATGGAGGGTATCGAGGTGAGGGCAGTGATAGGATTCAAGGGGATTGGTGTGTGGGGCATTGAACTATATAGGTAAGTACGTATTAGGGAGGCAGATATTCGTATCAGTGTCGGTGTATCTCGCGCCGAAGCTTTACTATACAAGCACTTCATTCCGAAAGATTCAAAAAAGTAGACATTGCTAGAAACAAGCAGGCTAATGTCCGCATGGCAGGAACACCAGCTGGGTTGTTACTAAGAGTGGGTATATACCATGCGAAATTCAAAATGTTATACAAGCCCTGGTACCACCTCGCCAGATCATCGGAGAGACGAAGGGACTCCAAGGGAAGATGCCCGTCTACCTAGCGCATAAACACGTTATCGAATGCTCAGTCCAAAAGGAAAAGCGAATCGAAAATGGTAATGTCGTACCAGTAGCCAGCCATGCGAGATAGTCCATCCATTCATCATGTGTAGAGATCATTCAAGCCGGTATCATCGACGCGCTCTCGAGAATGTAGGGCTTACCTAGTACTCTCCCAGCGGCAGACGCCTCGCCATCATCCTGCTCGGGGGAGACCCAAAGCCGCCCGTCCCGTTCGCAGGCGCTGTAGAGGTTGGGTTGAGCACCGTCCCGCTCGCGGGCGCTGTGGTAGAGGCTGGGGGAATGACGGTCTCGCTTGCCGGCGCGGTAGATGACGGGGTTGCCACCGTTGCGGACGTCTTGACGTCTACTAGCGATGAGGTCGCGGGGCTGCTGTCGACGAGGTCGCCGAATTCCCAGCAGGCTTGTGCGAGGGGCTTGTCCAGGGACTGAGCGTTGCTTAATCAGTATCTGGTTGACAGGGGCGGTAGGAAATGGGTAATGGGATACGTACCGCAATCTGGAAGTTGAGGAAGGGATCGGCCTCGTCTTGTGTCGTAGCTACTGCGACATTCAGCTGGCCGCCGATGTTGGTGCTGATGCGGACGCCGGTCTTGTGGCGTGGTGTGCCGGGGGCAATTTCATCTGCTGGGCAGGCACCTGCGGGAGCTGTTGATAGAGGTTATTGTAGGTTCGGAAGATGCTGGTGAGCGATGAAGGAGGAGGATATACCTTCGATCACCTCGAGCTTCGCGTTGACATTGGGGACTCTGAGATTGAGGCCAATCTCGAATCCGTGTCCGAGAGCATCAGCCCTCAACTGCAGACTCGGCTGCGCGAAGATGCTGACAGTACCAGTGACCCTTGCGTCCACGGTGACGGGGAGGGACTCGACATTAGGCATCCATCCCGAGAACTGGTTCGAGGAAGGATCCAATAAATCGACCTCAAGAATAGCCGCGTCGTCAAGCGTGGCAGTCGCACCACTCGAGATACCCGCACTGATGGTCAGAGGTCCGAGCTGGACGCCAACGGAGACAGTCAAGAAGGGACCTAGGTCAAGGATTTCAGGGATCGAGATGCCATCAATAGGGATCTTGACAATATCCCACGTCTTGCTCAAGTCACCAGTGATGGCGCCCGCTCCTACAAGCTTGATTGCTGCGATGGCGGAGACGCTCTCAGGCTGCACGGTCATGCTGGCGCCAGTTGGGATGAAGAATTTCTGGGAAATCTTGAACTGCATGTGGAATTTACCGGCTGTGCTGCAATTTGCGCAGACGAGAGTCGCAGAAAGATCGCCGGAACCGAGAGTGACGCTGAAGGGGAAGGAAGAAGTGGCATCGATCTCGATGTCTTTGGTAATATCTCTGGTTTGGAGTGCGTCCTTGGGGAGGGTGCCGACGACCAGGTCATAGCTATGGGCGACTTTCTTCCACTCGCTCTTCGAAGCGGTCAAGAACGCTGTATTGGCTTCCTCGTCGTACTTGAGCGAAGATACGACAAAGGGGAGACGGCGGGTGTTGCTGCCGCAGTCGCCAACGCCGGCGACCATGATGAAGGTATGATTGTCGGCTCCGTTGACCCAATCCCAGACCTTTTGTGCGTAGGCAAAGGTAGCATCATCCTTAAAGGTAAGAGAGAGACTATTGTTCGCAGTGCAGTCAACCGACTTCAGCATGCCGTGGAACTTTTCCATGGATAGGATATTCTCGTTCTTGCCCGGCGCATAAACGGTAAAGTTAGCGAGGACTGCTTCGCCTCCATCGGTGGCTAGACTTGTATTAGAATTGTTATATCGAAGTGCATGTATTGGGGAGACCCATACCCGCATCACCCCAAAGGAAGATCTCAGAGCTCTGAAGTTCAAGCGCTGATTCTGCACGTTTCCCAATTCCTCCTCCAGACGGAGGCAGGACAGGCACTAGTTCCCTGGCAGAGATATATTGTATAAAGAGAAGAGCGAGAAGCGCGAAAGAGGGGAATCGACAAGACATTGTCAAAAAGAGTGAACGACGATATTCGTCTATGTACCGAGGAACAAGAAGTCAAAGGAACGATGAAAGAATGGCTGTTGACTGTATCCTGGTTCAGGCCGAAGCTGAACTCCTCGCCCTATATGTATACCGTAGCGGCCCCCAAAGGGTACCTGGGGCTAGGTAGATCTTTGCTACGCCATGGCGACACCAACGTGGTGTAGATACAGCGTAGCCTTGCAAGGCCGCAAAACCATGCAATGCCATCCATCTGCTGTGCGCAGTTTGAGGATACGAGGGATTCGGAATATTCCAGAGTAAGGAGAACATGGAAGCAGTGGTGGGGTGGTAATCGTAATAGGAAGCTCAGTTGCCGCTACGCTGCGTGATAGGTTGTTTCATCCTCCGTCTAGCGGTCCCTGCACTTTCTAAGCCACCAGTGGATGTGCACGATGCATCTCTTGGCGTTACAAGTATAATTACTGTGGCCTTGGAGTGGCCTCAAAGTCAGCCACCTCGTCTGTGTAGGGGCTGGTGGCCCCACTATGAGACGGAACCGGGAGGTCGAGCAGACCCCCCGTAGCGGGAACCTGGGAGGCTGTAGGGAGGAGATATACGAGGAGGCTGAACAAGCTTGAGATCATCGCACGAGAGGCTATAGAGATCGGCAGCCTCGTCGGCTGTCTACTGTCAGCGCTGAGTAGCGCAATCGCAAGGGGCCCTTCCGGTGATGGTGGGGGCTCCGGTGTAGTGAGTTTTGACGAAGTGTGCATGGCTGTAGCTTTGGCTCAAATGATATCGAGTGCGTTTTAACGACACGCAGACTCTTGCACGACTTCGATAGGAAGCCAGATGCAAAGAAAAGGGATCCACCGCGAACTTTGATGTCGACGTAATCGGGCTTAGTCAACGATATTCTATAGTTAACTACGTACCTTGGACTTTGTAGAAGATGCGACCTAGAAGATACGAGTCAACTGCACAACAGGCACTCGCCAATTCCTAGAATCAGGTGCTTAATGACGAGCTCATGGCCTAACTTTGTTTGCGACGTTAAGATATGGTCCGAAGGATTGTGGTATGCAGGAGTGTGCCGCAGTGATGAAGACGAGGCTAGGAGAAAGCGGCGACATGGCAGTTTGGTTGGTCAGTTTCGTCAACAGCAGGGTGATCGCCGGCCAACTCTATGACTAATAAAGCAGCGTGTGATGATACTTTGATCCTGAGAAATGCCTATAGATGAGTTGGAATGTGAAAAGGAGCGCTATGCGGAGCATCCCTTGAGGGGATTGGGCCACGGCGCATGGATGGAGAGCGGAAGGCCCACTCGCACGTTGTGGGAGAAAAGATAGATGTGAAGGCAATGGTCGAGGGTTTGCATTGATGAAGGACGAGCGAGGAAGCTGGCTATCCCCGAATCCTACGCCAAGTACTAGGCCAAGTACTAGTGGAACTGCGGCACGCACGGATTATGTTAGGCCCGTGCATACCCAATTGTGCATTGGGCAGCCGTCAATTGATTCATATGTGTTTGTCACGGCTTTAGTATATTAGCAGGTATCTAGGAGAGACTTAGAATTTTCAAGAGAATAGTATTGGAGCTTTCTAAGCTACTGAGTGCATGTGACGGACATGCTCATATACAACTTACAGCCAGATCGTGGGATAGTACTATGGTAGCATATTACACAGTGTGCTTATGTTTCAAATATCCTCTAACTACAGTTTGTGCGGAGGATGCGAATTCATTCTAAGGAATTTTGGGAATTTTGGAAGTGCATGAGTGAACATCAAGCCCTGATCACCTCCACGCTACCTATATTCGAGGCCTGCGTGAAACCCCCGATCTACAGCTTCTCCGGCACCCAATCGCTTCACTCGCTAACAATGCTGGTTTGAGTGCTCTATTCAGTCTGAGCTGCAACCACCTTGCGTCCCCCAACCAGGCGTCCACAAGTTCGTCCGGGAAGCTCAAAGGCCCCGAATCCTCGATGAGCAAAAGCATTATGGTACCCAACGGCATCTTATCCAGCCATTGCCCGAAATAGTCGAAGTAATGCCGTGGTGCTCTTATCTCTACACTTGGAGGGCTTGTCATTGGATACGTCGGATTGCGTCGCGCGATTACGAAGTGCTACTAGAGAGAAATCTGTACTGGCAACTATATTTGACGACTCGATCGCGTACTTGTAACCTTCTTGTATGAGACCTTGATTCGGAGTTTGACACTCAACCTCCGCGCAGACCTCCGCGACGAAGCGCTTGTATGCGAGGAATCCGGCTATCTCGTTCATGATGATGTAGTGGCCTCGATCAAGATAGAGAGTTGAAGCTGTGAAGTTGACGAAATTGACGTGAGGTGAGGTAATGAGATGAAGCATAGGTCTTCAAACTACCCACAGATCACGTGATCTTTGACCTATATTGACTTTAATTGCTACTCGAGCCTCTAGTAGTGATCTCATCTCAAAGGCTTTGCGAGTTCGCCCCCCGTTCCGTTTACGAATGGTGATTCTTCCGTCGTGATTCACATTCCGCCAAGTTCGCCCTGATTTGTCCAGCCCCCACACTCACCCGTTATTCTACAGGGGTCAAAGGCCTCCACTACTCGAGGCTAACACGAGCCCAGCTAGCCCATCGAAAGTCTATCATCATCATCGATCCCCTGTCAATGCTTTCCCTAAATTCTATTGCATGGGACATATTATGATTATTTTGGAATTCCGCAACATTCGGTCTTATAGTGTAGTGGTTATCACTCCGGATTTTGATGCTTGTCAAAAGTTCCGGCGACCCAGGTTCGAGCCCTGGTAAGACCTTTGTTCTTCTTTTGCATTTTTTGGCCTTCTCCAACACTTTCAAACCTATACGGCGCGCTGCGGATTGATTTTTGGCTTACGTGTTGTGCGTGGGACGCATTCTAAAGCTTGGTAACTAGAGGTTCCCGACGTTCCACCGGACCGCGGGAAACGTCCACTTACAACCAGGGTGCTTTCGTTACTTTTTGGGGCTATAATGGGCGCTTGCGAGCTTGCTGCACCTGCATGCTTCAGAGACGCGCTCTCAGGCGCCATGAGACCCTCTCCACTTTCTCTCTACGTGGATCACGATGGAGAACGACCCCTCTGCGTCTGCGAACCTCGCCCGCACCCCCTGGATCCACCACGGGACCGCACATCAAGTATCTCGGACTCCGCGCCTTGAGTGCGGGGCTCTGATGATACACATCATCGTTACTCCCGATACAGGCCCCCGGCACTCCTCCCGCTTCAATAATAGCCTTCCAAGGCGCCGCCCGATTTCTCTCTCTCTCCCCGCTGCGGCCGTTCGCCCGTGTCCCCGCCCCCTTCCATTCCCTTTCCACTATTGAAATCCTCTCCACTCCCAATAATCGCTACACCGATGATTCTTTAACGTTACGACCACAAAAATTCCTTAGCGTCCTCAAAACCACGGTCCTATGGTGTAATGGTTAGCACGTCGGATTCTGACCCTCCTGATTTCCGGAGATCCCGGTTCGATTCCGGGTAGGACCTTCAAAAGGGACTTCCTTTTTTTCGGTTTTTGTTATTTCTCAGTCGTGATGCGTTTCATCTCATCTCTTCCTTTTGCCGCAGGAAGGTATATGTGTTTTTGGGGGACGGGGTTGGGGAAGTGCGACAAGAAGGGGATGGTTTGGAGGGTGAATGGCGGCTTCAGAGCTTAAAGAAGAGGTTAGGGAAAGGAGCCGAGAAGGTAGGTTTGGTTTTGACGCCAGAGTATGTTGCATCTAGAGGGAGGAGACTTTGCATATCTGCGCTACTTCAATGGGACATCACTACACTCCCCGGAACGACGTGGATCGCTATATCTACCCCTCTCTCGCTTCCATTTGCTGAAGATTTCTACCAACCTATAGCCGTTCCCCCGTTGCTTATTGGCAGAACTAGTGCCATATAACTTCGCGTCAGAGATCAAGGGGCACGTCGCGGAGCAGAGACGTAGCACGAAGCCGCCTTCAACAAGTTTAGGCATCCTTTAACGAAAGCTTACATGCCCTACATCGACGAAAGACTTGGAAACGGAAAAGAAGAAAAGCGATAGGCGGCCACTATACCGGAAAGAACAAGCAAGCAACATCACGCCTCGAGCTGACGCTTCAAGTACGGCACATACCAGATGCTAGAGCTCTAGATAGAGTCAATATTGCGACTAAGGAATTTCAAGGAAGAACATGCCGACATCTGAGGGTAAGCGGATTGGAAATAAAACGAGCGTAAAGGATAGAGAGGATTCCCCCCCAACGCCTTCAGAACTGTAAATTGATCACTCTTGCACATCACGTGCTTCACATTTCACTCCCGCGCGAAAGATATGACAACTTACCGCGAGTAGTTCGCTGAAATGGTAGTAGACTCGTGCTTTCTATGTTTAATCGGTGCAGAACAACCGACAGTTGTCGAATGGCGAGAACTTCGGAAGACAAAAATAGAACTCGGACATATCACGTGCACGGTGGAGGTTGAGGGCCAAAGTAAATTTAGTAGAACAGGGAATGAAAGTATGCCCGCTCTGGACACATTCGCTCAGCTAAAAGAGATCGACTGCATGGTATACCTATTCAAGTCATCTTTTTCGAGCACTTGGAGGCACCAGCACCTCACAACTCCATGTACGCCGTGACGCCTACATCCACCCCTGTGGATAGCGCTAGCCCACCTAGACAGACCAGCACTGCACACTACTCAGGCTAGCATCGAATGCCGGAGTGAGCGTGTTCTTGACGCCCTGCGTCATTGTGAAGGAACTGCCTGCGCAATTCTCGTTCCTACGCACTCGTTAGCCGAACATCCTCCCTTTCATCACTTTCCCTATCAAAACAGAGAAGAGACCACTTACTCCCAATACTGGCACTTATTCCCAGCAGTGACTTGAATTGATCGCACCGCATTATCCCATCCCCCAAATACGTTGTAGAGGTTAATGCAAACCGTGCCCGGGCGGATATCCAGATGATCACCTGCCAAACCCTGTTGCTTGAACAGATGCGTAGCATAGTCATCGCGCTTGACGAGATCGAGGTCGTCCACCGGGATCATGCGCTTAGACTCGGCGGGAGAGGCTCCCTCCTCGCGCCAGCAGCGAACGCTACTCAGCGCCCTGTCGAACCTAGCATCGAGCGTGCTGGCCGCACTGGAGACGAGCTCAAAGTTGAGGCCTGTGCAGCGTTGATCGCTGTGGAGACGTTAGCCTATACTTCCAAACCTCCAACATCTGCTCTCAGAAGAGAGGAAATAGAAAAAGTGGTAACACGTACTCATAAAACGTGCACTTCCAGCCCTCTATCACCCTCACCGAGCGCGCGACGTTGTCCCAGTCGCCGCCGCCAATGACGTCGTATTGGAGGTCGTAGCAGAGCGAGAAGTGGCCAGGCGCGATACCCTCGCTCTCACCACATAGGTCCTGCTCTTTGTAGAAGTATACGGCGTCGTCGTCCTCGCGCTTTTCCATGGACTGATTTGACGCAGGGTGGCACTGGTAACTGCTAATCGCCTTATCGAAGCCGTTGGGGAGGGACTTGGAAACGCCGGCCGGGGGTGCGACGGTGAAGCTGGATCCGGTACAGTTGTAGGATCTATGTAGATGTCAGATATAGCTCACGGCGTTACTTCCTTTTACAGGTCGTCTTATGCGCTGGGGGTGGGGCTTACTGGTAAAAGCTGCATTCACTGCCCTCAATGACTTCCAGCGATTGGATAGCCTTGTCCCAGATGCTGCTCAGGGGGACGCAGGACGAGGGCTGGCCGTAAGGAACCTCGAGGGTGTAGCCGGATAGGTGAGATTCGCTGTGGAAGATGGCGGCATTGGGTTCGGTACGCTTGGATTGGGTCGCAGGCGGGTCGTGGAAGCCGTGCTTGGGCGGGATCCAGGGGCCGTCGCGGTTCGCGCGCTTGGTCATGTCGGTGTTCTGGAGGGTGGATTAGTCTGTGTGATGTAGAAGGGAATGGGAGGAATCTTGCGAATCGAGTTTTCTTCCCCAAAAAAAGAGCGGGAAAGCCAGCCCACTCACCGAAAGGTAATCACATTCATAACTCTTCAGCACATCATCCCAATCTATCGGCATGTTCGCATACTCATCCCCGCTGTAGACGGGGAAAACGTCATCATCATTCTGCGGACAGTCTGCCTCGGCATACAGCATGCAGTAGCTCGAAGAATCATCGGTCTGGCGAACCGAGGAGATGTTGCCAGCTAAACCTTCCGGGATATTCACGCAGCCCGCCTTTAGCCAGAGGTATTCGACGTCGCCGGCAAAGTCTGGTTCCGTGTAGGCGGCGCCGCAGGCGTAAGGACCAGCGGAGCTGGGAACGGGGTTGCTGGCGGCGAAGGTGCCGCTGAGGGCGAGGGCAGAAAGGAGGGTGAGACGCATCTTGTTGGATGCGGTGGTGGGGGATTTGTTGTGTGGTGTTGTTTAGGGCCGACGGGAGTGTATTTAAAAGCAAGTAGAGGAGGCGAGGTTGATGTTATGGAAAATTAGACGGAGTAGATGAGTGACGTAAAGAGAATTTGGAAGTTTCAGAGCCCGCCGGAAGAAGGTAAATGCGAAAGCACGACTGACGTAACAGATCTCGTGGCGAAGTAAAGTAGTGAATGAGAATCCTCAACAGTGCAGCAATGGAAATCGATGGGTCGCTCGTAAAGCAGCACTTCCAGCGAGGCGAAGGAAAGAGATAGAGTACTCTCAATTCACTAGAATAGGTAAAATTCGCACTCCCGCATCCGCCTAGGAGCCTTATTTGCCTGGGAGTTGTACTGAGGTAGACAACAGCATTGCCAAAGAGAAGGACGGACTTGGCTCCGACCGCTGAGGAGATTTGCCCCGTATATCTTAAGCACAATGGGCACCCTGCTCTCTCTTTATGATACTATCCTAGGTTAGCAGTTGGTTGTGTAGGTATCGCTCCAGCATCTAAGAGTAGATGCTGTTACAAGCAACGCTATAACACTGTTCTCGTGTTCAATGGCTTCGAGCTCTCCTTGCTGTATTTCCTCCTGCGTCGAGAAATGATGAATTCGTTGTGCGTTAGCATCCAGTGCCCTGACTGACCCTGAATTCATAGAAAACTTGCTTTCCTACCGCGTGCTCTCCGCAGCTTCGTACCCCACGTGCTTCCGCCGACAACAACACCTATTTCGGCAACTCTTGGCCTTGCGCCAAGCCGTTGAACGCCCAGCGAGACGAACTTCTCGATTTTCGGCGTCAACACCACCTTTTCTCAAATAACTCAACAACCACGCATACCAGCGCGGAAATGAAACCATGACGAGATACGTCTAGTTAAGGAGAACCTTTGGCGAACTTTTGGAATCGAAAAACTGTAAGTTCATCAGAGTAGAGGTGGGGTCGACAAGCTCACCAAGAAAAAGGACCTAAACTTCCTCCTTACTAGGTACCTATAGTCTAGAAAACATGCACTAAGCACCTAGATTTCTAAGGCCTATGACATCTCTTCCTCAGCACTTATCGTCTGAACGTTAAATCTCCATACAGGCGGTTTTTCCCTATACAGCGGCCACCCCGACCGACTTACCCGGGGCCATTTGCTTCCGCCGCCGACAACACCGACTTATTCGGCAACTCTTGGCCACCGCCAAGCGTTGCAAAGCCATCGAGCACCGAGCGAGACAAGTTTCTCGACTTTCGACGCCAACGCCACATTTTCTCGAATAACTCAACAACCACACATGCTAGCACGGAAACGACACCATGATGGGATACAGCTAGTCGAAGAGCACGAATGGCGAATTTTTGGAAGATAAGGGAACCCTCGCCATCGCGATAGTGGGGGTGTCCGTGGCAGAGGCAGCAGCGCGGCTACCAACATCAACTTGAAAATACGCCAGACTTACCACTTGCGGTTAAGATTACGCCCTACCATACATCTCTAAGCCGTAGAAATATTTTCCTCGGATTCTTCCCAAACTATACACTACTTGAGGACAGAAATCACCATATTCGTAGATATCAACGTCTTCGGTCCGACTCCTCGCGCAACCTACCGAATCACGACCGTTCTTGAAGGTATCCCAGTGCCCCAGACGCGGTAGTGCTCAATGCATAACAACATACTAACTCCTCACAAAACTCTGCACCGGCTTCTCCTCAACCCAATCCTCCTCATCCCTCAGCTCCCAATGAAACAGCTGCTCCCTCCCCACCGACCTCGTCAGAGTCTGCTTGACCTCGTGCAGTTTGTTCAGATAGCTGATATCCCACTCTACCATCAAGCGCGTATGGGCAAAGCGCTCGACGACGAGCAGCCGGCCAGCGGAGAGGGGGAAGGTTTGATTAGGTTGGAGCCTGGCGATGGTCCATCGACTTTGCTGTTTATGCTGCTTGCATTAATGGGGCTTTGGTGGGGATGCGTGAAAGATTATAGGATGGTACAAAGGTAGGGTAGCGATGATTGGCGATGACTGTGTTCGAGTCTGCAGGACTGGAGTAGGATGTTTAGAGTTCCGCCGCCTGGGCTTTCTTTCTCGGGTATTTGGTTCATCTCCAAGACAGTCGTCTGGGCTAATGTTAGATTCGCATGAGGCTCTGACAAAGAGGCTCACTAGGCTGCGGCTTTGGACTCGTTCCCCCTAGCGATCTCTGGTCCCGGGACCAATGATGAACGAAGCTCGGGACGGCGATGGAGCGCTTGAACGGCGCACGTGCTGCGTCTTCGAATTCGGGGTCAAGTCACGCTAAGTTCCTTTTTCCCGCGTGGTCCTTTACTCGATGCAGGGCGGGCAGCGTCTCTCCCATGGCTGGTGGCCCGGCGGCTGTCCAGGTGGGCCAGGCTCTTGATCTGCTTGGTCAGGTTGACGGCCGACATGTCAAGGAGGTCGGACCGGCGGGGTTCATGTGCAGATTGGGCTCAGGCGTGGTCTGCCAGCGAATGCATGCATATGAAGTTGGAGAAAAGAGGCCTAACTGCAGTCAGCCGTTCCTCGTCGGTGAGGCGCGGGGTGGTAGGATGGGCAGTGTGCTGCATGACTGCCGAGACGCCTTTATGCAGGCGGCGCATCCACGCACAGCCTCGAAGCTGAATCCATGTGCGACAGAAGCAGCGGTCAAGGGAGATGGACTATCAGTAGTGCCATGCTCCGTGCCTGAATCGAGATGGTGTTAGATGGGCAGATGGGTACGAAGATTGATGAGAGGGGTGCAAGCGTCGAGGCCCAAGGAGTAGAGTATAGTGCACTGAGGCACATACAAGCATCGAATATAGGGCTTCAAATGCCTCATATGAACAAGTTGCATGTGACTTTGGAAGAGAAGAAGACGTTGAGACATCAAAAAGGTACCAAGCTCAACACTCGCGCTGCCGAAAAAGCAACGACGTCGCGGCCGCAGATGAAACCCCAGCGCTACGCTAGATGGAGGGTAGTTTATCGACGGTGTCCCCCACACTGTTGGGAGAGTGGACATGGCGGCGCGGGTGCGGGATGGGAGAATAGCGGCGGTCGGGGAAGCTCCACTGACAAGGAGTCGCCCAAGAACCACCCGTCTGTGCAGCCAGAGCCGGCTATATATTCCTCGCGCGCCCTCGCTGTCCAACAATCACTCTCCACTGTTTGGCAATTCATCCTCGCTGCCTGCTGCCTACATCCTGCGTCGTACCTGCCCGCCGTCGTCGCCCCTTCTGCCCTTCTGCTTGAAAGAACCCCCGTCGCCGCCCCGCCATTGTCGCTATTTAACTTCTTTTTTCCCCACACTTCGTCTCTCAGCCTCTCCACTTCTTTCACCCAAAGCAGCCACTTCACGTCCCCTCCAGCGTCCCAATTGACACCGCAACCATGGGCAAAGTCAGTCTCCCGCTTCAGCCTGCCCCTAATCCCCTAATCCCCCGCTAACCCCGCTCAGATCACCACCATCCTCTTCGACTGCGACAACACGCTCGTCCTGTCCGAAGAGCTCGCCTTCGAGGCCTGCGCCGAGCTCGCCAACGAAATCCTCGAGTCCAAGGGCGAACCCGACCGCTACACCGGCCCCTCCCTCCTCAAGGACTTCGTCGGCCAAAACTTCCGCGGCATGATGACGTCTCTGTGCAAGAAATACAACTTTACCCTCACCGACTCAGAATTCGACGCCTACGTCGACCGTGAGCTGGGCAAGGTCATTGAGACACTCGAGAAGAAGGCCCAGCCGTGCCCTGGTGTCGTGCCCGAGCTCGATGCCCTCTTCGCGAAGAAGCACTACTTGCTCGCTGTCGTCTCGTCGTCGGCCCTCAGCAGAGTCGTTGCCAGCATCAAGAAGACGGGTCTGGACAAGTACTTCAAGGACAACCACGTCTACAGCGCTGCCACCTCGCTACCCAAGCCGACCTCCAAACCCGACCCGGCCATCTACCTCTACGCCTGCAAGGACCTCGGCGTCACCACTGCCGAGTGCGTCGCCGTCGAGGACAGCCGCTCTGGTGCCACGGCCGCCAAGAGGGCGGAGATCCCCCTCATCGGCTATGTCGGCCCCTACGAGGCAGATGAGCAGCAGACCATGTACGACATGCTCAAGAACGAGTGCGGCGCCATCTATGTCATGCGTCACTGGGAGGAGTTCCCCAAGGCCCTCGAGGCGGTCGAGGCGGCTGTGGCGAAGCTATAGATTGCTGGACTCCGGCATCGGCATCAGCATTAGGCGTACTGACTAGAGCGTTTGTTGCAGCATGCGAGTTTGCGTTACGTTTCGAATACCTTGTGATATATTAGACGACCTGGCATGATTTATGGTAAACAGTCTCAGCATCATCATCGACGAATATAGACGTAGCGAATCGAATCCATGCGCGCACTGTCGTATCTTGCAATGCGCCAAATCTGTAGCAGGTGAAACACTACTAAATTACTGTTAACTACGAGCTAGGCTAGGATGCAGTCGTCGCCTCCACTTTGAATACCCACCTAGTCATAATGGCTGAACAGTCGATGGTGTGGTTCCCACTTCTTCTAGCCGTTCCATAGTACACTTTCCTTTGGTACCGTGCGCTCAGTGCAACTCGAGTGCCTAGCTAGCACTACATCTATATTTTTAGGAACCACATTTCTTCGTTTTTACGTTGATTTCTGATGATTAAGTTTTTTCCATATCCATAGTTTTTACTTAAATTTCGACCACTAACATCACGTCCATACTCCCCGTCATATTCCCCCAATATCAACGTCGAATTCCTCACACTCAATTTCTTCCCTTTCCATGGCTCGCCACACTCTCAACTCTGGCACTCTCACGCACGGAAAATATTTCATACTTCCATCGCGAATCTGTCATCTGCCTTCCTTCGTTCTTCATCAACCCTCTATGCCATCGACTAGCATCGACAGCCATCAACTTCGGGTCGTTTTCCAGTGACTTCTGCCTCTTCCGCCTTAAACACGACCTCCAACGCACGACTCGTACAGTACCGCAGAAAATAGAAGCAGATGCCTCGCACGACCACCCTCCCCCCACACGAGCCTCCCCACGAGCTTGACCAAGCGCTTACCTATCTGCTGGAGCAGCTGCCCCAGCTCCGCGCAGCAACGACCAACTTCGCAACAGGCATAGCAGGCATAGCAGGCATAGCAGGCATAGCCAGCAGAATCAACCCCCTAGCCCGCCCGCCAACACCGCACCCCGACCGTCCCCAGCCTCAGAAGGCGAGGGTATTGGGGGAGAACTTAGCCAGCAGCGCGTTTGGGATTCTGGCTGCTTCGGTTCGGTGGACGCGAGAGACGGTCGAGGCGGTGACGGCGAGATTGATGGAGGATAAGGAGGGGAGTGAGTGGGTTGAGGCGGCGCGGCGGGCAAGTATGGAAGATCCGGCGACTGGGGATGGGGTGGAGGGACGGGAGAGGAGGAGGAGGTATTACCAGTGGGAGGAAGATAGTACGGATGGCATGACGGATGGGGATGGGGAGGGGGATGGGGTTGTGGTGTGGCCGCCGGAATTTGATGAGGAGAATGGGGAGTGGAAGGACGTGGGTGCCCACCGTAGGGGGGAGGAGAGTGAAGGAAAGGGAAAGGGAAAAGGAAAGGGAAAGAAAAAGAAGCAGAGAGTGAATCACGGATTCAAAGCTGAGAGTGTGTATGGTGGGACCGAGGGAGACGGCATACCGGAGGAGGGCCATGATCGCAGTATACACGACAAGCAGGAAGAGCAGAAGGACCATCCGAAACTCGCAACCACCCAGCCCCAGGGCTTGGAAGAAGATCTAGACAGCGGCAACAAAAGCGAGCTTGACCTCTCTCCGCGCAAGGGAAAAGGTGCCGCTAAACCATTACCTACCAGCACCCCACCCTTTCCAACCCGCAGCAGGAATTTCTCACGACTTGCACCCACCTCCTCAGACCTGTCTTTCTCAGCCTTCCTCTCAACACCCCCCGCCACCAATCCCACCACCAACCCCTCCCCCAACCCAGCCACCGAGGGCGAAGCTAGTACGCGCAAACCCCCTCGCTCTAACATCCCCGTGGACGTCGCATTCTCAAACCTGCTTAAACCTCCCAGCCGCAAGCCCACCAACACCGCCGCTCCGCCACCGGACTCCTCGACGCCGGGTGCGTCTCCAGCAGACCACCCCGCTCCAGCTCTCTCTGAAGCACCCGCAGACGCCAGTGGCCCTAGGACTCCAAGCCGCACGCCCACCTCTACCGACTCTTCACCAACACATCCATCGATGCTGGGAGCGGTTCCGGCAGAGCGCCTCGCACCAACTCTCTCCGAGGTTTCTATAAGGCGGGGGCGGACTCCGGGGGCTTACTAGGCGGTGACGAATGGGGTAGGGGCGATGACGCGGTGGTAAAGGTGGTATTGGGGGAGATTCGTAGACGCTTTCGGGATTCTTGAGAGTGGGAGAGGTGGGCCTGGGACAGGTAATGCTCCTAGCCCCGAGAGGTTCGCACAGCGTACGAAATCTAGGTCGATGGTGGTAACTTCTAAAGTCTCTGACGCCAGCTTATATAACTATTAGAGCGATAGGCTTTTTGGTGGAGGCTGGCGAGGTGGTTGGGCCCTATCTGGTAGATGGATGAAAAGGTTGTGTTTTTCTGGAAAATGGGGCGCGAGTGTAGTTGGTAATTAATGCGAGATTTTGGGGTTTGTGGCATGGATTAAGGGTTATGATGCGTCTATATATACGAACTTGACGGGAAGGAAGGCACTACTGGGTATAGATAACTCTTGTTACTTTACTTCACCCACCCTTCCGCCTCTTAGACCACCGAAGGCTCTAAAAGGTCCGTTTTTTCCCAGTATGTACGATATCGCAAGGCAGAACCCACTTTGTGACCATTTTCTATCAAAGAAATGATCATAATTCTTAGAAGAAAGTAGTTACCCCGCTAGCGACTTTTTCCTAAGCTTTTGGCGTTGGTCGCTTAGTACCTGTATGGTTGAATTCAGTTCGCTGCAAACCTGCGGATGCCTTGTTGCCTAAATCACACTAGCATGCTTTCTGTGTCGGTCACCAGGCTGAGACTTTCTTGGTTTTTGAGCTGCCATCGGCATAACTACTCTACTGCTATTTGCATTATTCACTTCTATCATCTTTATAAAATGGCCTTGTGCGCAACATGCAAAAAGGTAGACTTTCGCACCCTCCTTATTGCTTGCCTTCAATCATGTCGAGAGAGGCAAGAAACTCACGGCGGGGACTATGATGACCCGCCCCCGTCCGATAACTCATCGAAGGCTAGGCATCACGACGACATTTTCGCGATCGAAAAATCAAGTGGAAGTTGCAATCTTTGCAAAGTCATATTCCAAGCCTTTGAGAAGAGAGGAGTCATCGATGCAGAAGAGGCAAGAGGATTACCGATCATTTTTCGTGCGTTTGGCAACAAGATTGAAGTGTGTTTTGATACAGAAGAAGAACTGATTCAGCTATGCGGCCTTGATTTCTCTATGAATGAAGCTGATGGTGAGTATTACCTTTGTAATATCTTGTGATGAAGCCTAATATTGGTCTAAAGCCAGGGAATTTTTCTCGGGTCGTAAGATGAAAGAGGATAGTTCGCCGGCGATTCTAAAGACGATTGAGAAGGATCCCGGCTCCAAGGCATCACTCGCAACTGCTTCCGGTTGGTTGAGAGACTGTTTGGAGAACCATGACTCTTGCAAACCCACCGCTGAATATCAGAAGCCGCCGAAACGATTGATCAACGTCGGCAACGAAACCCAGAATCCATTTCTGGTGAAAACTTCCCTTGGTTCTCGACACTTGAGATGGCTGTCTCTAAGCTATTGCTGGGGAGAAGAGCCTTCGATGAAGCTTACCGAGAAAACCATGGACAAGCTGAGGAATGGAATCCCTTTGAATGAATTCGACACTACGGTCCAGGATGCTATCTTGGTTACCAGGGCCTTGGAGATCACATACATTTGGATTGATGCACTGTGCATCATTCAAGAGGACAACGGAAACGACTGGATCGAACAGGCTTCTAAAATGAATGAAATCTACGGAGGGTCAACGGTGACTCTTGTCGTCGCCAGCTCAAACTCTGTGAAGGATGGATTTCTGAAGGATCGCGAGCTCCAATACATTCCCATCCTATGGTCTAGCAACACTGCTGGAGACCCGACCGGTGATAAGCCTCAAGCGAAAGTGTTCGTCTCGTCAGAATGGGACAAGAGCGAAGACGAGCTCAACGGGCCCTGGAGTAAACGAGGATGGACGATGCAAGAAGGTCTACTTCCCAGTCGGCTGCTGCACTACACATCCTCTCAAATGATCTGGAAATGCGGCGAAGAACAGCGATTCGAAAGAGGCGTAACAAAAAGCCTCCAAGCCGAGGTCGATGAAATCCTGAAATACTCCGATGATATCGCTTTCGGATCTGGATGGCTCTGGAGATTAGACACATTTATGAAATTCAAAAGGTTTCCAGACTACATACCAAGCAGCTTGGACTATCCCCTGCTGTTGGAACCGGAAACTTTTCATTTGTGGTACGACTTCATCGAGGAATATACCCAGAGGAGATTCAAATGCATCAGCGATCGTCTGTTGGCAATATCAGGCCTTGCCAGAATATTCGGCAACACGATTCGCAGCCGTGATTACGCGGCTGGCCTGTGGAAACCAGACTTGATCAGAGGGCTTATGTGGCACACCAAAGGCGCAAAGCTTATCCCTCGACAATTGGCCGACAGCATGCGAGCTGTCAATATTGCCTTTCCGTCTTGGAGCTGGGCCAGTGTTGGGTATGAGCGTGTGAAAAACAGCCAGAAGAACAATAATCATTTCCAAGCTTTATCACGAGTCGAGGACGTACAGATCGACCTCGTTGATCAACACGATCCCTTTGGTGGCGTGAAAAGCGGCAGCGTTACCATCACTGGCCCGTTGAAGAAAGCACCAAGACTTTACAACAAAGAATGGAATTCCTCGGAAGCGTCAATGTCAGCATTTGCGCGGCATATTTCCGAAACCGCCGAGAAAGAAAGCCCAGAAGGCGTTGAACACAGGTACTCTTCTCCGCCCGAAGGCCATTTCGCAGCACTGCAGATGCTTGAGGGCATAGGTTCGCTAGATCTGCTCGTGCTGGAAGCCACGGGCGAAGTCTCAAACGGCATCACCGTGTATCATCGTGTTGGGGTCATCACGCTCCGGTATTTTCCTGAGGATAGTGCGGCATCGCCAGCTCTCATTGCTAAATTGGAGGAGTTGGATAAGTCTCGTGCCGCACGCCTTGGCCCACGGGAGGGAAAAGGCAAGGGGCAGAAGGCTGCTAATGCTGTAGTTACGGAGCTGAGGAAAGAGCCCTGGAAGACAGAAACTGTAATTATCGTCTGAATGGGAGCTGGAACCCCCAAAATCGGTCCCCGTCTTGGTTGATCTTCGGTTTGATTGACTATAGGAAAGCTTTTATAAAAATGTCTTTTGCGAGATTGCACGTCAGCGTGTCAGAAAAGGTCTCTGATGGTGTAAGTGAGCGCTGCTAGGGTGTTCCTTCGAGTTTCAGAGAGGGTCCAGGATAGAGGTGACAGGAGCGGGACTTAATGCCTAAGATATTGAAGATTTGAGTGAGGTGTAGACTTGATGCCGTAGCTGCTGTAGGCTTTTCCTAGTGTCGGATTGATGGTTTTAAACTGTCACGGTAATCACCTTTAACAATATACCGATCCTTCCCCACCGCCTATCTAGGGAAACATACATAACTTCTAATGCGGCAGAGAGAATCTTATTTCCTATTCGGATCTTAGAGAACAAGCCAATGTCTTTTAAATACTACCGCCGCTTTCCTCTAAAGTATCACAGATCCAGGGATAAACGCGCCCCTTTTCTATCTTCTAATTCTGGATAGCCTGCGCCGCGCGCTTGGCCACCCTTATATACCTTCACGAGCTGCCCCGAATTCCTATTCTTTACCCAACGTCTTGATTCTCCACCTGATACTATACCTAGAATACAATCAACGCTCCTCCTTGAGCCCTTGAACCCCTGCTTGCAGCATTATCATAACGTATTATTACTAAAGGTTTACTATTATCATACCTATAGAGATAAAGAAAAGCAAAAACGATGCAGTCGTCCCAACAAGCCGTTGGAAATCGAAGCCAAAGGGAGTCCCAATGGGCTCCTCAAAGCACTCAGAGCAATCGTACGCAATCACAAAGCCCTCCGGGCAGTGGTGGTGGTGTTGCAGTAGGTCAAATCTTTCCCGCGACCCCTAACCTTAGATTGCACTCGCAACAACAACAACAACAACAACAACAACAACAACAACACCCACAACAACAATACAACCAAAAGCCCCTCCTCGACACGTACGGAAGCGTCGTAAGCGCACTCAACGAAGTACAACAAATACAAAGCGCCCTACGGAGTCAGCCCCTTAATGCCATTAGCATGGATTTCCTCCAGGCCATAGTCGCGTGCATCAACAACGCGTTCTTTGGACTCACGGATGCCAAGGAAGGACTCCACCGTATACAAAGAACCATGGACGAACGGAAGGACGCGCCATGGGAGGAACTGATGAAGGAGATGAAGGACTCAGGTTGAAATTGATGTGAACTCTGATTTCTATGGGTGTCTAGCTCGTTGTTTATATACTAGGGGAAGGAGGGGGGCCAGCCCCGGGGGCATAACGTGGTATCTCTTCCTGACGCGTTACTTGATTCATCCTGTTTCCTGATACAGTACTGATACCGTGCTGCAGCACTGCTGTTGCACTACCTGTTACTTCCTCCTGTATCAGCATGCTATCCTGATACGTTACTGCATATGAGTTGCTGACCCTAGGTTGTAGTGCTGCAACCCGAGTGAAGGACACAAGGAAGAGCATTAGCGAGCTGAAAGCTCAAGGAAACAAGACATACGCAGCTGCAGCAGCGAAGGCCCCGATGGCAATGCAAATCGGGCAAGCTATACGAATTGGACAGGACGCGAGAATCGGACAGGATGCAACAAACAACCTCCACGAAATCAACATCCACATCGAAAACGACGCCCAGCGAGCGGCTAACGCGACACACACGAACGACCATATCACAAAAAAGCTACAAGCGGCGGGAGAGCCGGAAACCACAAAGATTAGTGGCATCAGGAAGCTACAAAGTGGTGATATCAAGGCAATTGTCGCGGATAAGCTATCGAAAGACGCCCTCCTAAAGAAGAAGGATTGGGTTCTTGTCCTAGGCTCCTCCGCCACTATACGCACGCCTACGGTGCTCATCGAAGTACACGGCGTGCCTAAGGAGATGGACCTCGACAACCCGAGCCTACGGAAGGATGTAATGGAAAACAACGCAACCCATAACCCAGGACTCACAATCGACAAGATCACATGGAAGAACAAGGCAGCTATTGCCGCGGCGCGGGCAAACCCAGCACGGCGTGCAAGCTCGGCCATCGTAGGCGTACGAACAGAAGCAATGGCGAACAACGCCATCAACAACAGCATCGCTTGGGGAGGCTATGTACTCGACGCCTTAAGGTACGAGGCAGGATTTGCAGCCACGCAGTGCTTCAACTGCCAGGGCTACGGGCACGTTGCGAGGTACTGCAAAAAGAACGTTAAATGCGCAGTGTGCGCAGGCGAGCACGACACGAGAGTGTGCCCAGACAAGACCATCAAGAAATGCGCAAACTGCAACAGAAACCACCCGTTATACAGTGCCGAATGCACTGTTCGAAAGGGGGCCTAGCAAAGGGCCTTTAACAAGAAATGGACAACACCACGCTAATACGCCGCAGAGCGCAACGAACCATATATGTTCCAAGCGCAGTCACACGACAAACAACAGCACGCAAGGAAGATAGCTCTAAAGAAGAGGGTGCGACATACAGGGGAGTTCGAGACACAAGCAGAGGAGCCCTCCTCTATGGACTCTATGGCATCCACGGCTTCCACTGTACCTGCACCCTCGAAGAGACCCGGACCTGGGCGGCCGAAGAAGGTGCTCACAGCGGACAAGGACCAGCCCGCCATCAACGAGGCATTTGGAATCGGAAGTAGAACGCAGCCCGCCCAGTTTACGCGACCCAACCGATTAGCTACGCTGCCGGAAGCATTATTACAGCTAGCTACACAAACCACGTACGGCGGAGGCGATTGGCTAATATTAAGCAGAGAGGTTTAAATACCATCGTCACAAAACAACCTAGCCAACCAACAGATCCACGCTGAGTAAAGGACCCAGGTAGACAACGGGCAAGCCAAGAAACAACAAGAGGACACCGAGATGAGCCAATGTTAGAACGACCGAACAACCTCACTATTATACAGTATAACGTCCATAAGAACTTAACAACTTAGAAGGAGTTCCTTAAAAAGGCGGAGAACGCCAGCCCGCAACCTATGGTACTAGCCATACAAGAACCGTGGAGGAACCCACGCGGGCAGGGGCAGGGGCAGGGGCACACAGTGCATATAACGCATATAACAAAGTTATACCATCTACTGCACGCAGGAGAGGAACACATAAGAGCCTGCATATACGTTAATAAACAACTAGATATTAACGAGTAGTTAGTTGTGCACCACTTACTAGATCTTAACACCCTCTCCCTTTGCGTAGGGGGAAAAAGGATCTATATTTATAATATCTATAACCCGAACCCTAACAGTATTATACAGGAACTACCCCTACTGCTAAACAATACTAAAGCGGAATATATTCTTATCGGAGATATAAACCTACACTATCCGCTATAGAGAGGAGTTTAAGTTATGCAAATTAAGGAGCAAGTAGAGGAGCTCCTCCGTATTACGCGCAAAGCAGGCATAGACCTAGCTACGGAGGAAGGGCTAGAAATATAGGCAAAAGAAATATTATAGTCTATAATTAACCTTATATTTATAATAGGGTGGCTAATAGAATAAACAATTTCCTTTACAGTATAAAAGGAATAGAACTGCAACTCTAATTACCGGCCTATATACACGGAGTTTAATATCTTACTACTAAAGGCAGCTAAACCCCTGCAGCGTAGGCTATAGAAGGATATAGTATAGAAAAAAGTATAAAAGAACCTAGTAATATAGCTAGATAAGCTAGAAACTCGGAATAACCTGCAGGAGATAGAGGAAGATTTTAATATATTTGCACACCGCCTATATAAGTATATATAAGCTATAATAGATAAAACTATACTACTTATAAAGCTATTAAAATAAGTATTACCTATATAGTTAATAGAGTATACTAAGGAAATATAGAAGATAAGGCGGGCCTATAAAACCTGGCGCTTATTAAGAATAGTAGAGGACTAGATTTTATATAAAGTATAGTATAATAGAAAAAAAAGGGCTATACGCAAAAAAAGTATAAAAGTATAAAAGCTAGCTAAATAGGGCAGAACTATTAGAAAGGAACTATAGCCACCGCCTTAATTCCCCCTTTTTTTATAGCCTAATAACGTAATACTCTATATAGATAATAAGACTAAGGCCTAAATATTTATAGAATAGTTCTTCCTACTTTTTATAGAGGTAGACCTTTCTAATATTAAAAAATACTAATACCTAGAGCTATATAAGTCCTTATAAAATATTATAGTAAAAAATATTCTCTCCGCGCTAATAGAAATAGCCCCGGATAAGGCCCCGGGTATTATAAAAATAACTAATAGGATTTTTAAGAAATATAAAACGCAGCTAGTACTAATATTAGCTAGGTTTTTTACTAGGTGCGTGTATATAGGGCACTACCTATAGCTATATAAAGAATTAATTACTATAGTACTATATAAGCCTTAAAAAGCGTTCTATAATATAGCAAAGTTATATAGGCTAATTACGCTGCTAGAAATAGTAGGTAAGCTGCTTAAATATATTATAGCACGAAAACTATCTAAAATAGCAGAGGAGAAAGGTATACTTCTACTAAGCTAAATAGGTGCAAGGCCTAAATAATCTACGCAGATAGTACTAAAACTTTTTACGGAACAAATATAAACTATATAGAAGGGCAACTTTTACTTTATTACCTTTCTTTTTAGCCTAGATATTTTAGGGGCCTTTAATAGAGTATTTTATAAAAAAATAATATATAACCTATAGGTCTAATATATACTAAAATAGATAGTCTAATTTATAGAATTATTTCTATAGAACTAAACTATAAAACTTTTTATTAGAAAATATATTACTAAAACTATTCCGGTTAATATAGGTATACTATAAGAATTTTTACTTTTACTAATCTTCTTTTTATTTTTTATAAGCACGCTTCTACCAGTACTATAAAAAGGCAATATAATAGCCTATAGGTTTATAAATAATACTAATATCTTTATATTTAGTAGAAGTATAAAAGAAAACTATAGGGTAATTAAAAGTGCGTATATATAGTATATAGAGTAGGCAAAAAAGTATAGTATAGTATTTACCCCGGATAAGTATTACCTTATATACTTTATAAGGCGCTGTTTAAATATGGTAAATATAAAGGCTATAGTAAATATCTAGGGCTTTATAAAGGGCCTAATTATAGAGCTCTATATACTTAAAGTTTAGGTAGACTCTAAACTTAAATAGGGCCCGTATATATATATTATAAAGGAAAAGGCTATAGTATAAATAGGAGCCCTTATATAGCTAATAGTATTAATATAGGGCGTAAGCTTCTAAAAAGCATAGTATATATACTTAGTAGTTATTAGGCCGGTTCTTATATATAGGTATACTACCTAGTTTTTAACGCCAGGTATAAAGGAATAAATTAGCAAAGCAAAGATTAAATAACTTAAAATAGCCTAGAACTACTTCCTCTATACTATTACAGGGGCGTATAAAATAATAGATATTAAAATACTTAAATATAAGACCTCTTGCCCCCCCCTAAGGCTTAAGCTAGAGGAACTCGCGGTAGCGTACACGGACTGCACGCGCGCGGGCTAGGCTAGAAAGCATATTAAGACTATATACCGCACTATTAGAAATACTATTAGGAGATACTATAAGCCTAGGAAAACGCTTAAATATAAGCTAAGCCGGCATAATATACTAAAGAGGCTCGCGGTTAAGGCTATAGCACTAGCCCCGAGGTATAAAGGGCAGTTAGACAACTTATATAAGCTCTTAAAATAAGGAGCAATATAGGAAG